CGGCCAGTAGGAAAGGCTGGGCTGGGGTGGCAGGCTCCGTGAACCCTCTGTGCCCTGCCTGCACAGGGGAGGACGGGGACCGCTGCAGGGGGGCTCCTGGTTTGCAGCCCTTCAAAATTGTGTGTCTGCACTCTGATTCCCTGTCTCCCCTCCACAATGCCCCTGCCCAGGAGTTCTTATTATATTTTTTCCTTTTTTAAATGGAGTTCCTACTTCATTCTAGCAGCTCAAATTGTAATCCTTCTTTGCAATATCGTTTGCCTTTGTAATTAAAGTGTAAACAAGCATCCATAAAAAGATTGTTGCATCCAGCTAAGAGGACAATCCTATGGAGACTTCCGGGTTAGCACCACTGGCAATGGCGGATTTCCTCTGAACTGGAGGAATCCGCTCCGTGAAAATCAGTGTCTGGACCGCCACGGCGAGGCGGAGACCCATCAAAAACCACAGGCGGGAGAAGCCTGTGGACCTGGGATTTGGCTGGCACCTTTTGCGCCTCCCCTACTCACGGGGAAACCCGGTTCCGGGGTTCCGGAGCGATACTTCATATCGATTGCTCTTTTCACGGAGTGAAGCCGCATTGCTGTTGTTGGAGAGCGCTGACTTATTTCCTGTGGACAATTGGACTCTAAACAAGTACCCGTGAGTAGAACGGAAAATTGGATTATTAAACTTCGTAATTTGGCACCGGAGCGTGAAGGTCTAAACAGGAAGTCCGCCTTCCGCTTTTGTAAATAGTTTGAAGCAAAGACATGGCAAGCTAAAGTCTGGAAAGTTATCTGTAAAGGACTAAATTTCCATTGGTTAAAACTACAAAACCCCCCTTGGAAGCAGGAGAAGAGGGGGGAAATCTTAAATTGTTCAAGCCTGCAGGAGAGAGAGTAAAAAAAAAAGATAAATTTCTATCGTCTTGAACCTGGGAACGGGCTGTCAAAGATAGACGTTTTGGGAAAGTTCATTGACTGTGAATAATAACGTATGTTGACAGATAGTCAAATAAGAGAAACATATTGACTCCAATGTTTCCTTTTGCACTAAAAAGGAACAAAGATTTGAAAAACAAAAGCAATTTTGTTGCTGGATCTGCTTGTAAAAGGATGGATACAAATAGAAATTGTTTCCTCTAGAGGGAGCTTTTGAACTGTTGTTGGAGTGGACCTGGGGAACTCTACAGCTGTAGAGATTAAAGATCGTGAGAACCAGACATTGACCTTGAACAAGAATGTGGACAGAGGAAGCCTTAGTGATTGCTTTTTGCAAAACAAGTGCCCTACTGGAACAGCTTCATGAGAAGATGGATTTGATGACTACTGCAATTGATAATTTCGGTCGAACAGTGAACACTGATATAGAACCTGCTCAAGAACTGACCCAGGAATCTGCCCTGACAGGGCAAGCTGCGGAGAAGATAAAGGAGGAGGTTGTTGTTGAACCTCAAGTAATACAAGTTGAGAGAGATGTGGCCCTGCAGGAACATAAGCTGTCGTTTCTGATGACTGAATCTGGAGTGAGTCAGACTTGGAGAGACGGAGTCCTGTCGGGACTGGAGATGGCAAGTTGGTCAGATCCTTCTATGCAGGGATGTCCTGACTTTTGGGATTTGGTTTTGGGCCGGGAGGAGATTGGAGTCGTCGAGGCCCTCAATTTTGGAGGGACATTGAAGTATGCTTTGGAATATTTTTTGGATTTTAGTGCTAACCAAGGAGAACGGGCTGACCGGTCGAGAAGGGATAAAGACATTCTTAGGTTGTTCCCCCGAGATCTACTCCTCAGTGACAAAGGAAGGAAATTAAGAACAAGACCAGCAGAAGACAAGGTAAAGTGCAGGTACAATTATGAAGAAGATCTGCAGAAGGGACATGGAAAAGAGTTAAGAGCCTCGGACATAAGATCACCAGGTTGATGGACTAGATGGAACAGACAGAAAGGACTGACAGAACCCAAGACCAGGAAGAAGAGACGGTGGATGAAGATTGGCAGAAAGTTTAAAAATTCATTTAGAGAAATATTGTAAAATTAATGAGTGCTAGGAAAATCTTGGAATGAAACTATTAGGCTTTAGTAGAAATGTTATAAGGAGCTATGTATAAATAAGTTTTTAAGTTCTAGGGTGTTTTTTATGGTAAGATAAGGCTAAAATAAATTAAGACAACTAAAGGACAGAATACAGTGAAAGATGGAAAGGATTTGCTGAGATAATTAATAATTAGAATACAAAAAAGGGAGGTGTGAGGAGGTCGATGAAACAAGTTAATGAAGATAAGGATATGGGAATATTGGATTTGTTTTTAAATTTATTCTTTGGCTCTTGTTTTTGATTTTGGTGTATTGTATGTTTTGTACTTTTTATTCTCTTTTTATTGATTTGTATTGTTCAATCTCTTTTTTCCTGCTTTTCTTTTTTCTTTTTATTTCTGTAACTTTAAATTCTCAATAAAGATGAGGACAATCCTATGACAAGATCTTCCAGGATGCACAGCTAAATCCTGACTCAGCCCACAATCAGCCCCCCAACATGGGCTCAGATGGTGTAACTTGGTCATCCTGGCTCAGCTGAGGCTGGGAACATATTGGAGGCTTCACTGCATAAAATACTATGGGAAAAGAGCACACTGAGAACAAATCAAATCAAAATGAATCTTTAAGAACAATCTTTGCATTATTCTTTCTTAGAACATTTGAAGAAATAAATAAAATGGAATGGAATCACAACTATGAAAAATCAACCAAACTCATACAAATACATAGTTCTGGAAATTAGATGTAGGAATATCCCTGTTTTAATTGGTCTGTTTGGGTTCAAATCAAGGATATTTGTTTATCACAAATGTTTAGCACAGTTAGTTAGGGACAATACTTTGTAAAAGATAAAACCCTTATATAGTATATTTCTTTATTATCAATATTTCTACAAGTGGCTCAACCTTAAAATACACAATGGAATAGATTGTAGGCATCCTCAAATCATTTTGGGGTACATTTGCAAACTCGAGAAATGATGTGGGCACCCCACACAAATTGCAACCAAGCACACTCTGTATCCTCTTTTATTGCCCACAAATAAAATAGTTTTCCCCAAGCCTAATTTCAATGGGGAGCAGAGGAACAGAGAAGCAAACTCTGCATATTCCAGGGAAGGACTCTGCAGGCATATATGTGCCCATAGGCACCACACTGGCAACCCCTGGGATAGAGTCAAATATCTAAGTAGCCTAAAAGGTGTTAATATCTAGAGCAGAAAAACCAACCTGGTTAAATTAAAGACATTCCCTTAATTGATTCTACGACAGCCAAGGGTTGTTTTGTTTTTCATTTCCCCACCAGTATCTCCTTTTGTTTCAAATACAGTGGTACCTCAGAAGTCGAACGGAATCCATTACAGAAATCCGCTAGACTTCCAAAACATTCGAAAACCAAGGTGCGGCTTCCGACTGGCTACAGGAAGCTCCTGCACAGAAGCCACATTGGACGTTCAAATTCCAAAGAATGTCTGCAAACCAGAACACTCACTTCTGGGTTTGCGGCATTCAGGAGCCAAAACGTTCAACTCGCAAGGTGTTGGGGATCCAAGGTACAACTGTACTGCAATTTTCAGCGGCTGTTCATCTTGCTTTGTAGTTATAGAGCCTGTAGAGGAGGGAGAAAGCTTCCCATCACCAAGTCTTTTGTAAACGTGCAATTTCGTTTTACTGGAAACATCATAAAAGGACAAGACTTGATCATGCATATCTAGGAGTATTCCTAATTTTGTAAGCTTTCCTTTCACTTTCAGGCGGGTCCATGGCTCTGTTCGAGCCCAGTGATTTTCCCCATCATCGCATCCTATGACCCAGTAGCCATTCTCAGGAGACAGGGTGACCCTCCCTTTTCTCAAAATGTTTGCAGAGGCAACTCCCAAGTCCCAAGTTTTCTTCTGACCAATCTCTACCTCCCAGTAATGTTTCCCTTATGAAAATCCATGTTTTGCCAGAATGAATGTATGGAAGTCAAACCTCTTCTCCCAGTCAGCAACATTAGAAAAAAAAATCCTGTGTTCTGAACACTTTCCCCATCTTTAGTTACTTTCAGTTTGGGGTAAGCTATCTTGGGATCCAAGATCACATCTGCTGCAAAGCAACAAAAAGGGCTTAATTCAAAATGCACACACTTGAGGGTAGCTTTGTGTTACTTTTTAGGACAGCATTGCCCCCTTGTGGGTCACCCACACATTTGTAGTTACATGCTAGTGTAGTGTATGATGAACCATACAAATTTCTATCTAAAGGGATTAAACTAAGCTTGTTTCAAAAACGGCTGCAAATATTTTTGGAAACCCATTAGAGGGTTTTTAAAAATACAGTCAGGAAGTATATAGGTAAAGGTAAAGGTACCCCTGCCCGTATGGGCCAGTCTTGACAGACTCTAGGGTTGTGCGCTCATCTCACTCTATAGGCCGGGAGCCAGCGCTGTCCGCAGACACTTCCGGGTCACGTGCCCAGCGTGACAAGCTGTATCTGGCGAGCCAGCGCAGCACACGGAATGCCGTTTACCTAGTAAGCGGTCCCTATTTATCTACTTGCACCCGAGGGTGCTTTCGAACTGCTAGGTTGGCAGGCGCTGGGACCGAGCGACGGGAGTGCACCCCGCCGCGGGGATTCGAACCACCGACCTTTCGATCGGCAAGTCCTAGGCACTGAGGCTTTAACCCACAGCGCCACCCGCGTTCCCTCAGGAGGTATATACTTTTTGTTAAATATATTTTCAAAAGAGTAATTCATCCAATTCCTGTGCCAATGGGATTCGCTTACAATCCTCACCAAAATTTTCTTGATACATACATCTCATTCTCTGCATGCTAAACATATTACAAACTATCATTTCTTAGTGATTTTATTTAGGAACTTATTATTCAGCAGAAAACCCATCTTTTTGGCAACATAACTTACGTTCAATACTAGAACAGGGTTTTGGTTTTGTTTTTTGTAAAACAGTTAGATTCACATTTTGCTTTAGAGACCAGATAATGTAAATTATAGATTACCCTCAGTGTCTGCCTGGTTTGCCTGTAATTTTTTTTTTTTTATGTATATTGCCTCAGATGGGCTTAAAAATATATTTTTAGAGAAAACACTTATCTAAGTTACAAACACGTTCTTCAGGTGGCAAAAGTGTTACACTGGTCACATCTTTAAAAACAAAACAAAAAGCATTAAAACTAGCTTTTGCATACTCCTTTATTCTTTTTGTAGGGAAGTTCAAGCCAGTTAATACACAAATAGTTGAGTGCTAAGTTCAATTATGTTCAATTCATATTTGCTACAACATAAACTATTATGTAAAGAGGTTGACAGATGTTTACATTGGACACAAGAAAAGTACACAGAAAATCCATTCTGTTTCTGTAATTACATAATGAATTTTCCCACCAAAAAATTCTAAATTTTATGTTAAAAAAGTTGCATCCTTTTGGTTAGAATTCCCCCCCCATAGTTGTGATAATATAACCCTTTAAACAAGGATGCTTTTAGTCTAGGTTTTTTAAAACCACTTCTACTTCTCTCCTGCTGTTTTCATTAAACGAAAGATTTACACTAATCCTGAGCCATCTCTGAGATGTTTGCTTTCTTCCCATCTTCCTCAACAGTGTCATCTTCTTTAAGCCATGGGGAAATCTTCAGTGGCTGGCTGTCTAGCTCTGCAGCTACAGAGCCTGTAGAGAAGAAGGGATACAGCTTCCCAGAACAACAAATAGAAAATGTGTATAACTTCCTATTATTGTGGACATCATAAAAACATAGGCTTCCAGCTGGCATGTTTAGGAATATCCCTATTTTTGTTGGCTTCCCACTCACTTTCAGATAGGTCCATTGTTCTGTCCGAGCCCAATAATTTTTTCTACCTTCGAGTCCTATAACCCAGTAACCATTCTGAGGAGACAGCGTGATCTCACCTTTTCTGTGAGCAAATTCAGAGGCAACCCCTAAATCCCACTTTCTTTTCTCGCCAACTTCCACTTCCCAGTAATGTCTTCCTTTGGAAAAACATTCTTTTGCCAGAACAAATGTATGGGAGTCGAACCTCTCTTCACAGTTAGGAACCTTAGATATGTTTCCTGTGTCCCAAAAACATTTTCCATCTGAAACGTTCAGTCTTGGGTGAGCTGTCTTGGGGTCCAAGACCACATTAGCTGCAAAGAAGAAAAAAGGACTTAACACAAAGGCACAGACTTGAGCTATGTGTTACTCTTTAAGGACAGTGACACCCCCTTGTAGATCACACTCAGGCCTGAAAATAGATAACTACAAATGGCATCTATCTATCTATCTATCTATCTATCTATCTATCTATCTATAATGGGCACTCTGGATTTCTAAGTAAAAGAAGTAAATAAAGTGTGCTTCAAAGAGTATCAAACCCATGCCCACCCCCATGCAATTCTATTTCAGTCCATAGTACAGTGGAACCTTGATTGTCAATTGCAATTCATTCCAGAAAACCGTTTGACTTTCGAAATGTTCAACAACTGAGGCGCAATTCCCAGTAGGAAAAATCCATTGAAAAAACTGAGAAACATGCCTCAGTTTGACTTCCGAGGTGCGTTTGAAAATGGAAGCATTCACTTCTGGGTTGTTGGTGTTTGAAAGCCAAAACATCAGGGCAGAATCAGTACGCTCAGAATCCCATGACATGGAAGAGAGCGTTCAGTTAGGAATGGAGGAGGCAGAAGAGGAGAGGGTAGGAGAGCCCAGCGGGGAAACGTCAACTCCTGTAGACGCAGGGAATCAGGAAGAGGTGGAAAGGGAGCAGGCAGCCTCACAGGCACCACAAGGGTTAAGCTCTGAATCGGAAGGAGGAGATAGATTTATAACAGCTGGAGCCAGACACAAGGACAAAAGACAGGGTCAAAGGAGTGTCGTAAAGTTCCTGCACTTTAGATGCTGGAAATGGAGGAAGAGGTCACTGGTGCTTTCTGATTCAACAGAGTCAGACTAATGGTGATTAGCTCATGATGACTTCTGTAAATACTTGTAAATAAAGACCATAAAAACATCAATGGTGTGAGTGGCAATAACTGTGACAAGAGAAACGTAACTCCCTGACAAATGTTTAACTTCTGAAGTGTTCAACAACTGAAGTTCCAGCATGTTCAATGGGTTGTCATTTATTGTACATTATTTACAGCACAGGTGGACCTCTTTCTTTCAGGATGATTGGCACATTCTTTGCATTTGGGGCAGAAGGCTTTGTGTTGATTTTTAAATAAATTATGCCAATCTGTAAACAAGTAATGGTGCACCCCTCTTAAACATGAATGTGAAAAGCTGAGAAAAGGTCAGGAGGGATAGAAGGACAGACAAATATGAACACTCTAAAGGTGAAGGGTTCCTTACCTTTCATTGCTATCTAGTTTGAGGGGATTTGGCAAGGGAGCTGCCTTTGACCAAAGGCAGCTTTGTTTCATTCAAGGCAAAGTTTGGAAGAGGCATCTCTTTGGACACTTCCATTTATCCCTGACCACTGACTGTGCTAGCTGGGGCCAGGGACATCCCTGAGTGATGCAAGGTCAGATGCAAATCACACATAGCATCTTTATACAGCTAAAAGCTGCATCTGGAGCTGAATCAGAAAGTAGAGGAACTGACAATCCCATATCTTGGCAAAAATAAATAAATCTAGAAGGGTCTGAAAATCCTTTTGATGAGCAATAGGGATAACTTGAAACGTTCTATGTACAAAACACACATTCTGACACTGTAAGTGCCACCTTAATTTACCCAGACCAGCACAAAAACCTTTATGACATTGGGGTTCCATTGTATCAGTTGTTTCTGGGAAACAGAGTATCAAGCACAGTCTGCTTGCTACACAGAGTGTGTGGTTTTTTTTTTTTACTGCAGTGTATGTTGAAAAGTTTCAATAAAATCTAGGATGGATGAGAGAGAGAGAGAGATAGAGATGTGGGGTGTGGTTTGCAGGATGGTCTACATAAGCCCTATGAAACAGCTAGGGTTTTAATTATATTAATTCATATAATTAATTAATTAATTAATTAATTAATTAATTAATTATAATTAAATACTACAAACCCCAGTATTGATTTTAATTGGTTATCATTTTGCTAATTAGTATTTCCAAGCATTTGTTATTCTCACCTCTGTAGCGATGGACATCTGCAAATTCTGTGAACAAAGGAATGGACAAAGAAGTTTCATGGGCAATAATGATACAGGCAGTGCTAGTCACACAACCACTGGGAATGCTGGCACAAGAAGTCCAGACAAATATTCAACCTGTGTCAGTTCTCTGCACATGGGCAATGCAGAGCATGTTAGGAGTTCTCTAATGAGAGGCTGCTTCCGCAATTGTGGAAACATGAATGGACCCATCCTCATTCTGGCACCAGTATCGTAAGGGAACAAAGCAAGGTAGTATTCGATAGAAGGGGCCCTCACATTCAATCCCCGCCACTGAAGTCACATGTATACAGAATTCTTCATGAGAAAGGATCCCTATACCCTGCTCTCAAACTGGTTCTCTCCCCTTTACCTGCAATCTATTAACAAAAGACCCAAAGGCATGAATAACATTACATCCAATTCAGGCCTGTGTTCCAGGCATGATTTTGTTTTCAACAAGGAATATGTTGGATTTCCTGGCAGTAAGGGAAAATAGCTAATTGCCAAGATACGATCAATATCAGCACCTAGGGGCAGCTGCCAGAAGGAAAGATAGCAACAGACAGGGATCGGCTAATCTGTCTACTTTGGTTTCTTATTTTCCCAATCTTAAGGCTCAGTTCTCCACATTCCCAAATGAAAAGTCCTCGTGAAAATTCATTAGCATTGTTAGTGGATTTCTCTTGACACACACATTAATGCAATATTTCCTGATGTACACATCCCACAAGCAATTTTATATGTTATTTCCACACAAATATGCATATTCTATGCACACTTTACCATAGTATATCATATTTTGCTCATGTTACTTGACAGCCAGCTGGGTCCTGGCTGAGTTGGGATGGAGGGGGGGGATGCCAGCATATATCCAGCTGAGCCAAGAATGGGGAGTTATGCCAGTATAGCCCAGTTGTGCCAGCAACCTATCAGGTCAGCCAGAGAACCACTGGATCCTAACGCTACTCAACCCAGTAGATCTTGATAAAGAATCACTCCCTCACCTAAGGAAGTTTGTGCTCTGCTATAACTACCTCTCTATCCTCTTCTCTTCCATATTCTGTTTGATAACCTGTCATATACTATTTTTTCAAGAACATGCATTTTTTTCCTGTTAGTGTGAAATGTTACATATGAATTACCTATTTCTGCCTTCAGTTGTTCTGAAAAAGAAAAGATATAATATAAAGATGACATTTTTAAATGAAGTATTATTTACCTCCCCTTCCAAAATCAGAAATTCGGTGCTGGAACAGTGAAAAACTTCCTTGTGTAAAGGAAGTGCTTTCTATTAGAACAAAAAACCTACTGGACACAATGGATTCAGACAATAAGAAGTGTTGCAATATAGAATCAACTGATAGTTAAAGCTGGGTGGTGTTAGAATACTGACCTATTTCTCTCTTTAATTTATCTGCAAAGGAAAAAAATATATGGATTTTACATGTAGTAAACATTTCAAAATAAAACTAGAATCAGTGTGTGGCTCAAATTCCTACTCTGACATTATTTAAAATCACCACTGCCCTCTCACTGTTTCACCCTGCTTGCTCTACTCAGACCTATGCTGTTGTTAAGAATAACCATTTTTCTGTCAGTGTTCCTCCATCCCTGCTTCCTCTACTCAAAGTTCTGCCATCCGCTGTTCTTCCATTCCTGATGTACTCAAACTCTTCCCTCTCCCTTTTCTTAGCTGCCTTCTGTGAAAGACATGAAGGATGCAGAGCCCTCAAATATAATATAGTAACGCCACACAATATATTTCATTCCTTGTCCTATGTGATGTTTTCAATATGAAGTTCTAGATTCAGTGTTGTAATTTTAAGCAGGTATTTTATTAGCAAATACCGATATATGTGCAACATACTTCAGCTGAACTTAGTATTCTCAACTGGGGTATCATCAACCTTTACAGACCCAGGACCCGCTTTTAACCCCAACATGCATACGGGAACAGATGTAGGTCAGCATGAAGAAGGAGGGCCAATTGTCAGTGAAGCTAACTTTTTATTCAAGGAAACGAACATACTCTCAACAACACTTCCCAGCGTAAATGTAATAATATAATAAATATAACCACAAGGAAACTAAAAGTTTGTGATATATTTTCTAACAGAAAGTTGGGATCAAGTAGCTGTTTAAGTGGTGAAGTATTTTACAACTTAGAATAAGTGAATTAATATTTTTTATTGGATGTATTGTTTTAAATCTTTCAGCTTTCTAAAAATTAGTTTTTATTCAAGATTTTCTTGCGTAACAAAGAAACAAAGAAAAGTACATACAGTGCCTCTGCTTTTAATTCAGAGTCTTTTCCAACACTTACCATTTTCTGACTTTAAATCAGGAAACAATGAAAAATAGATTATACCTGCAAATGAAAAGTTTCAGATTAAAACAGTAAACAGCATGAAAATGAAACCAAGGATGATTCCTATTGTGAATCTCACCAGGCCCCAATTACAAGTCACACAAATCACTCTGCTCACAAGTAGTCTGCTGACGGGGGTCTATTTGTGTGCAATATAGCATCAGAGAAGATCGCTGCAGCTTCTTCTGAAATACAGCTTGAGGGAAACCAGCAATCCCATTTTATGGAATAAATATTGTGTACTAACTTGCCCTGCTATTTCACTACTCACTTCAGTAGGCCCTTTAATATGAGGCATTCCATCCCAATATCATCATTTTTTCAAAGAGAAGGCAGAGTTCCCATACGTCCAGGAAAACCCAGACATCTCCTCTTTTGGGGGGTCAGCATGCCCGTTTGGCCAGATTTTTACATTTTAAGGTTGGGCTGTCCTCCTATCTGCTCTTCAAGATATGGCAACACTAAGAATGGATGGTGTGCATATATTTCTGGTTTCTCTACCTAACAGATCAGGTCTGGGGAACCTTTTCAAACCCAAGAGCTGCAATCCTTGGCCACTGGTAGCCAGGGCCAGAGGTGATAATAGGCACAAGAGATATTAATCTTACATTTGTGCACCAAGCTACATCCCATCTACACAAAAACCAGAGGTTTCTAGTACACCCACAGGAGCCAACTCCTAGAGGTTGAGGGCCCCAATAAAATATCTGAGAGTGTCAAATCCCCCATCCCAGTTGATGGGCATTGCCATTCAAATGGTGTGTGTGTGGCATGCCATGTGATTGATTATGTGGGTCGAGGATTACCTGTGCCCCCCATATTTTATTCAAGTTGACACCCCAAGTATGCCCAACACCCATATCTCTTTGCCCAGGAAAGCAAGAGCCTTTACTGCACTTCAAGCAAACATTGCAGCCAGACAAAAACACTCAAGGAGAGTTAGATGAAAATGCTACACAATCATATACTTAAAGTACCCACGAGTCTTTTCACTGTCCATCTCACAGAGTCACGAATGCATGCAAAAAAGCCTGAAAAACAGAAAGGGGGTGATGAGAAAGGCCTGAGCTAAACTTCCACAGTCCCCCCCCCATTTTTATCAAGCTTGCTTTTTAGGAGACTTTCACATCTCAGACAATCACTTTCCACCCCCATGCAGTTGTCCTGAAGCTATGGGAGGAGTTGGTATAGCTTTGAAGACAACACCCTCTGTCTAGAATCACAGACCCTCCAAGTGTCCCTATTTTCCAGGGGTGTCCCTGATTTAGAGAAGCTGTCCCGGTTTCTGATTTGATCCCAGAATGGCCTACTTTTCCTTAGAATGCCCCTATTTTCATTGGAGAAATGCTGGAGGGTATGGAGTTATCCAACCCCTGAGCCATCTGAAGGCAATTCTGTATAGGGAAGTATTTTTTCTAATGTTTAATGTTCTATTATGTTTTTATATATGTTGGAAGCTGCCCAGAGTGGCTGGGGCAGCCCAGTAAGATGTGTAGGGCAAAAAATAGTAAAATTATTATTATGGAATGGGATGTCCCTATTTTTATTGGAGAAATGTTGGAGGGTATGGAATCATTGATTTGTTTTAGATGTCCAGACCAATATCACAATTTCTTCAAAGTGAGGATAGAATAGAATGGATGTTCAGTTTTTCCACCTAACAGATAACGGTTGTGGAGCCCTTTTCTAACTAAGGGATATATTCTTGGGCAGCCAGGGGTAGCCTTGGACATATGACCACTGTAGGCACAATGCCCTCCCCCACAGACTCCCCTCATCTCCCCTTCCTTCCCCCCACTGTTGCATCTGTGCTGCCATTGGTCCTGCCACAACTGCACCCCTACTCGTAGTCGTGCGTGCACTGCCAACCATGATGCAGCGGGGCGGCAGCAGGGGCACGGCAGTGGAGACAAGGGCATTGTGGTAGCAGTGGCAGTGGCCTGGGCAAAGCCACAGCAGGGCTGGTGTCAGTGCAGCAGTGCGGGCAGGCAGGGGGTTGGATCTGCCACCCAAGGCAAATTGCTTCACTCTGCTTCATAGACGGGCCATGCTTGTGCACAACCTGGGGGGCTTTGTGCCAGCAGTGGCCCAGGCCAGAGATGGTAGTAAGAACCACAAGAGATATTACTCATATTGTAAAAATGCAAGTTTCATTCCATTTATAAAAACCAGGGGTTTCTAGTACACTCATGGCCGTAGCTCTTAGTTTTGGCAAGCATGAGCCTTTATTGTAGTTCAAGCATACATTCCAGCCAGACGAAAACACTCAATGTTAAGTTGTGGGTGAACATATCAGACGACACAGCGATTCTTCAAACAGCTCTTGTTTATTCACAGGCCAGAACTGAACTGAAGGGTTCAGCCAGCCTGCTTATATAGAGCTCGACTACAACGCAACAATAACCATTTTCTGTAACTATCCAACTGAACATCACTTTCAATCCCTTATTTGCAAATGTGTATCTGAGTGAAAACTATGTACAGTATCCCCCTGCTGGCCCAGGGTGAAAACTTCAGTACATAACACTCAAGGAGGGTGCAGAGCAGGGGCATAACTTTGGAAGAACCCTGAAGGATGGTTAGAAAGGCCTGGAGAGCTGCATTCAGCCCCCAGGCTAGGGCCACTGCACTCCTGCAATAGATGATCTGTACTTTTAACATGTCAATCGTATACTTAAAGTACCTTTGGTTTTCAAAAGCTGTAGACATTCTGTTATCAACCTCACAAATTCACGAATATAGAAGGAAATGCCTGAAAAACAAAAAGGGGAAAGTTAAATAAGGCCTGAGCTACAGGTGCGGGTGGGAGGGTGACATTGTCACAGTTGGCGCACCCCCGGGACGCTTCCTGCCACCGGCACGCCCCTGCAGGTGGCTAGCCCTGCCCCCGCAACTGGGGGCCGCTCTAAGTGCCGGAGCAGCTAGCTCTGCCTCTGCTGAGCTAGACCCCTATGGGGTTTTTTAATCAGTCTTGCTCTTTAGGAGGCTTTCACTTGTTACATAATCATCCCCCCCCCCAATTATGTTATCCTGAAGCCATAGAAGGAGTTTGTGTAACTTCTGATGTGATTGCTGTTCCCTTGTGACTTTCTTGCTCTGCTGGATATTGTTTCGATAATGAAACAGGAGGTGGCAAACAAGAAACATCACCCAAGTCCTTGGTGATGAAAATCTCTTTATCTAAACAAGAATAGGTTGAAAGCTCGCCTCTAATCTATGATAGTGCTTCCACCATCTCAGAGCAGGAGTGACTGCAAAATTCATTTGGGGGATAAATTCATTTGGGAAAATAATGCCAGCAGTGAAGATCATTTGGGAGGATATAATGTAAGAAAACAGTAGCAAATGTTTTATCAGTGATACATAAGCACTGTTTATCTTTGTTTTATGAGGAAGACAAGTTTTGACTGTTTTTTAAAGGAAGGTGATGGGACTCTAAGGCTAGAGAGATTTTTAACAGATGTCAAACACATTACAGGAGAGCTATTAGAAGGTGCATGTGTAGTTGAAGCATTCACTTTCATATTCAAGAATTGCTAGTCAGAGGACTATACAACTCAATCAATTACACAACACTTCTGATTCTTCAGTAATGCAATATTTGGAATTAGTGAAGCTGTCGTACCTTGGATGGATTCCTGCACTGCAGGGGGGTTGAACTAGATGACCCTCAGGGTCCCTCCCAAACTACAATTCTATGGCTACATGACTGGGTAGTGGCAATGGTCATGTCAACAGTTTGCAAAATTGGTGTGCCACATATAGACAACCTGGAAGCCTAAATATGGGAAGGAACACATGTCTTCTAAGCCCTATTCCTCTCTATAGGATGCAGGTATCTGCAATCACTGATATTCTTTTTCCAAATAGGACTAAAATGTCTATAGAAAAGTGTGAATGACACAGATATTTCCTTATATTTACTATATGTGTTAGCTGGTCTTTTAAAATGTCAACCTTATACTTAAAGTACCTATAAATTTGAAAGGTCACCTTGTGTTTTCAAAATCTCAGCTTTCTGCCTATGACCTCACAAAGTCAGGGACTGGTGCACAAATAAAGAAGGGAATGGTGCTTGAAAAACAGCAGAGGCAGTTTGTATGTCCTGGTGTCATGACAAATTACAGCTGACTGAAAGTGGAAGCAAAAGGTTTGGAATTCCTTCCAGCTTTGTTCCTTCTGTTTTTCACACTTCCCTTCCCTTCTCCAATTCATCCAGGAGAAGGAGCTTGGAAATTTCTGCTTTCAGTTAACTGCAGTCATAGAT